TTAGTGGTCAATTAAAAAAAATGCTGCTGATTAAAAAAAGAAGAAAAAGAAAAAGGAGACCCGAGAGTTACATTGCCACTTCTGTGAGGACACAATACCTTGTCCTCGGGCATCACAGGAGATAGTCCTATTGGGGTGATATTTCTCCAAACCTAGACTTCTCAAGGAAAGACAAGCAGGTGATGACATTGGAGGAGCCATTGGAGTGTTACCCTAATTGCTGTTGAGGTCCTTCGAAGAGGCGGCTTCCTCAGTGGCCATGTTCCCACAGGCCCTAAGGGAATACCAAGAACGTAGCATCTCTGATTTACACAACCCTAGAAGGTCTCTGTACCTCTTTTCCCCCTGAAATCCACCTTCTGCATTTCAGCCAGTAGAAAAAGTAGATTTGACCATGACCACTTTCGTGGCCTTCAGAAAGGCAATACAGGGCAGTGGTTTAGAAGATGGGTTCTAGAACCTTGCTCAGGGATTTCGGATCTCAAGTTTTATCCTACACAAGCTGTGTGACCTGGGGCATGTTTATTTAACCTCTCTGGACCATACTTCCCCTCATAAGAAAAGAAGAATAATAATAGCAACCTCCGAAGGCTCTGTGAGGACTAAATAAGCTAATACTCCACATGGGCACCTGGCAGGTAGGAAGTGCGCAGTCAGGTTTCAGGCATCTTACGTGCCAGCCAGCTGCCATCAGCACCCACGCATTGCTTCGCACTCTTCTCTGCCATCTCATACTCTGCACTCCCATTTTTTAAGCTGACAATAAGGGTCTGCCCTGTGTTAGGGACTGTCTTAAGTGCTCCAGTTTAGCAACCAAATTCTTTTAGTTCCCCCTAATACACTATACTTTACACACCCTTGCACGGTTTTGCTGATGCTGTGACCTCAGCCCGAGGCATCCTTCCTATCTCTCCTCACCAGGCCATTGCTTTATTTATTTGTTTGTTTATTATTTATTTATTTATTTATTTATTTAAGATTTTTACTTATTTGACAGAGACAGAGCAAGCAAGCACAAGTCAGGGGAGCAGCAGGCAGAGAAAGAGGGAGAAATAGGCTTCCCGCCCAGAGGGGAGCCCAATGCCCCAATGCGGGGCTTGATCCCAAGACCTTGGGATCATGACCTGAGCAGAAGGCAGATGCTAAATGACTGAGCCACCCAGGCGTCCCCTTCCCCCATCTTCTCAGTTTCTGTGGCCCCTTGTGTCGCACCTCGTTCATCCAGTTCCTTCATGGCTTACCTGGAGCATTCCTACTTCCTACCCCTCCATCCTGGGACCACGCAGACATTTCTGTTTTGAGTTCCAGCTGCCTCGGTGGCTCCCTGTGGAAGAGGCCTGTCAGGTGAGACGGCCAGGTTCGCTGTGTGCTGCCTGTGCTTTTGGATCTCCGAGTGCAGTATCTGAGGCGTTTGTTTTTAATCATAATAGTTCACATCTTTTCCTTCCATGCTGATCAGCAGGAGCCAGCTGGGGGTGGTAGCAAATCTTCCTTTAATTTCCACTGTGATGGATTATTGCTTCACTTAAAATGGTGTTTAATTTGTACATGTGCCCTGAGGCTTTAAACATTGAGCTCATTTGACGATTGTTGGAAATCAATTTGGACTCCACAGTATGTTGGACTCCATGAGTCCAATGGAGCCCCATGGAGCCTGTGGCCCCATTATAAGTACCAAAGTCCAAAAATCAGAATGTGGTGAGTTCTACAGCCCCATAATGGTCGTTTCTTCCTTTAAAGAAAAAAAACTCAGGGGCACCTGGGTGGCCAGTTGATTAAGCATCTGACTTCACGGCCCAGGTCATGATCTCAGGGTCTGCTCAGCAGGGAGCCTGCTTGTCCCTCACCCTGCTCATGCTCTCTCACTCCCTTTTTTCTCTCTCTCTCAATAAATAATAAATAAATAAAAATCTTTTTTAAAAACTAAAAAAAAAAAAAAAAGAATAAATCCATCTATTTTACTTTCCTTCCTAACAATTGACTCAAAGAAGCAGCTTTTAAAATTTTCCCTTAGGAAAGAAGACAGTAATAGGTGATTATTTTTGGGACCTCGCTGTCACCTCTTTCCTGTGACAGCCTGCTCTCTTTCTTCTCAGGCACAAAGACCCTCTCTTGATTCGGCTTCAGCTTGCTTTCTCCTGACTTCTCTCCTTGCCTCCAGCTTGCCCCGTCGTGGTTGAACAAGATGCGTATTTCAACAAGCCACTTTTTCCTTCCTTCCTTCTCAGGGAAGGAGTCCTGTTTTGGGTGCCTGTGAATTTCTGTGAGAGAGGGAGGGGAGCAGAGTGACAGCAGAGTCCCATGCTGGCTGGCTAGGCACTCTGAGGTTTCTCCAGCACCAAGCAGCCTGGGACGTTGCTTACGGGGTCATTTCTTGTCTTTAAAGTTCAGAGCTATGGTGTGTGATGAATGTGTGCATGGGTATGGGTTTGTATGTACAGTATGTATGTATAGTACCGACCATAAATGTTTATTCTTCAGAAGGTAGCTTTGAACAAATTTTGGAATTCAGATTTGAAGCTGAGCATAACCAGAAACCCCTGCCTGCAAACTTTTTTTTTTTTTTTTTTTTTTTTTTGTTTCCTACAGAAGAGAAGTGAGAAAAGAAATAATTCTACTCTGGGGAAATGCATAATTTAGAAGCTGTCTGCATGTATAAGAAAACAGACTCTGTGGCTGCTCTGTAAACCCAGACTGGCAGCCAGGGCTCATGGTTTCCTTTCCTTCCTTCAGTGTTTTTATAACATGGATGGGACCCCTGCTCCGAGTGCTCCCCACTGGGCAGTGAGGGCTGTGGACTTCAGAAGCTGGCCTGGGGCAAGCCTCCAGCTCGTTTCCCTGCCTGTTTTTCCTATTTCTTACCCTGACCTACCACCCCTTCCTTTCCTGGAGATACTGCCCTTTCTGAGAGTGAAACAGGGCTATTGGGAAGTTCAAGGGTATTTCAGGAAATCTCAGACAGGGTACTTGCCTCTTTCTACCGCATATAACAACTCAACAGCCTCAACGCCCAACACGATTGAGCTACCGTGGGCTTACGTTTTGACCACACTTCACCTTACCTACTATCAGGGGATGTCCAGGATGAGAAAGAGGGGCTCTAGATCCAAGGGGTCATGTGTCTTCCTTCCTCATCTTCTGGCCAGTCCTAACTCCAATGCCGGGGAAACCCATTCTCCCCTCCATAGTCTCCCAAGACTATGTATCCAACTATTTCTATAATGTTCAGTGTCACCTGATTTCACATCTTTAAAAATAGTGGTGGGTGGACCAAGCAGGGAAGACACTATTCCTGGGTCCTTGTAGGTCTGATTTCCTTCAGCAGTTGGGCGTCTTCATGTGTAATTGGTCACCCTGAACGGGCAGCCCGGTGTGGCTCAGGACTGCACAAGGGAAATGAGGGGTGAGAGTAGTGACCGCTGTTTTCCTTCAGCCTGGTGCTGGGCAGTGCTGTTGGCCCCTCAGGAAGATGTACAGAGTCCCAGGGGTGTAGTGACTTTCAGTGACTGCTGTGGTAGGAAGGATGTCAGGGAGGAGGACATCAGCCCTTTGGAAAGATTTAGTTAGTAAGGTTTAGAGGAAAAAGAGAACTATGATTTGCAGCTTTCTCTAAACATCCAGATGGATCCCAGACATAATCCCGCAAAGAAGATCTGATTTTGTTTGTCTTCCTCCCCCGTCTCTTTAAATAATTTTATCTTCAAAGCGTGGTGCAGGCATTAATTAACACTGTGCCTCCCCTGGGAGGTAGGCAAGTGGGAACACCACCCCTGTCAGTGAAGCCCAAGGAATAGGCAAGTCCAGAAGCTTCGGGCAGGGGAGTCCGAGAGGCACAGTGTGCATTGGACCTTGGGGCTTTCCCCTCAGAACTTTACTTGGACATAGCCCGGAAACCACCCACTTTCTCAGTGTCCTTGGTTCCCAGTAGAATAGAATTGCTGAGGCAATGGCAGGAGAGATGTTTGGTGCTGTGGGATGACTAATGGAAACGTTGAGGGTTGAAGAGAAATTCTGGTAAAATTCACTGTCATTGTGAATTCTAGATGCAGGAGTCTGATTATGTCATTTGTTTCATTCATTTGCTTGCTTGCTTTTCAGACAAAAAAGTACTGAGCATCTATTTCTGGGCAAGGTATAGCAAAGGAAATCATTTTGCCTAAAAGAGCTGGCTAGCCACGAGGAACCCTGCTGGCTGGGAGTTTGATCCTTTGTATCTTGCTTAGTCCCAAGCAAAGGGTGGCGGGGTTTGTTATCTCTGTAGATGGTGGGGTTTTTGTTGTTGTTGTTGTTTGTTTAAGATTTTATTTGGTAGAGAGTGCGTGTGCGTGCGTGCAAGAGAGAGAGAACGGGGCAGAGGTAGAAGCGGATTCCCCGCTGAGCAGGCAGCCCAGTGCAAGGCTTGATTCCAGGATCCCGGGATCATGACCTGAGCTGAAGGCAGCTGCTTAACTGAATGAACCACCCAGGTATCTGCTAGGTGGTGGTTTTAAGTAGTGGAAGACTACGGGTATCTGGAGGTGGATGAGAAATACATACATGACTGTTGATCTAGTGACTTTGTAGAGGTTAAACTTTTCCTTTTCATTTAGCCTTTATCTTGGTTGGCTCAGAAGAGGAGGCCACTTAAGAGTCTTCTCTTTGGAGCTACAGGTGGCACATCCTTAATTCTGGCCTCTTCTATGGTTCCCTAAGAATGGTGATCATGCCAGTGTCTGAATGTTGGTGGAGGGTACCTTGGGTGACTGCTGAGAAGAACCCTGGGTTGATACTGAACCTCCAACTCTGGACAAGCAGCAGCACTGAGATCCCCAGTAGTTCCTTTCTCATAATTGGGTGTCTTGACAATGATGGTAAGAAACAGAGAAGCGGTCATTTCTTCCTGTAAATGTTGCCCTCTCTCTTGGGTGGCAGTTGAACTTGACTTGCTTTGCAGGAAGCCCTGTTCCATCAGCTCATGGTATTCCCCTTATCTTGGCATTGCAGGCTGCTGAGAACCAGCCCTCGACCTCTGCTTGAGGGTCCTTCCTCTGAAGACATCACCAGTGTGTGGAGCCTGCCCCACACCCACCCCCTGCCAAACCACGGCCTTTACCTGTGTCTTCCGGTGTTTCCCGTGCGACCCATCCTGTGGGAGTGCCTCGTGGGCCACTCCAGAGTTCACCCCACGCTCAGCGGCGCCAATGGTGAAGATGACAAGATCCAAGACTTTCCAGGCATATCTGCCCTCCTGCCACCGGACCTACAGCTGCATTCACTGCAGAGCCCACTTGGCCAATCATGATGAACTCATTTCCAAGGTACATTCCTCTGTAGGCCTTCCTTGCCCTCCTCTGGGTGGGGGGCACTTCTGGCTCATAAGGTTGCATAGGCTTACGAGCTCTTCCGAAGAGTCCGAGATCCTTGTACTTTATCTTTTGTACAGAGAGGGCTATTGTGTGTGGCTGTCTCACTCAGCTGAGAGATAACTCTGAGTTGGAGGGAGGATGTACTAGTTTAATTTGTAATTTTGAAAGTTAGATGTGATCCCTGTTGGAGGCTGGGGGGCTGGTGGCTCGCAGGCCGGAGGGGAGAGGGGCTGAGCAGTGATTGGAACCTCTCGCTGGGCTGGCTTAGCTCAAGTTGGCAGGTGAACGCCATGTAGAGTGCTGCCTGCCTGGAAAGAGAAGTCCAGGAAATGTGGTCGGGGCAGGATACCTCATAGGAGGGACTTCTTAGCTGAGATGAGGGGATATTGCCTTCTAAGTTCCCTGGGAAGGTTGTAACACTGCTGAGCTACTAAAACGGGTCCTTTGGGGAGGACCAAAAGTGGCTTGGTAAAGAGCTGACCCACTCACTGGCCTCAGGGATCTTTAGGGCTTCTGCATGAGGTAAAATATGGAGTGACACTTGATCATAATCAGAAGAAAGAATGGAACCCTATTTTTCCTGAAACACTTGAGCAGCTGCTTCCTAAAGTTGGGTTGGGGGAATTGTTAACCAATAAACCCAACACCCCAGTTGTGCAATCCAGGAACTGGCTCCTTCAGGCAGCATTTTCAGGGGAGTTCCCTCTCTCCTAGCCCTGAATTCCCATGGGAGGAGAAACGGGTTTTAACTAGGATGCATGAAAAGGGAGAAAGATCATGGGGACCTCTTCTCCTTAAAAAGCACCCTTCCTCAGAACATGGACTCATGCCATTAAGATTAAAAAAACCAAACCGACCTTTCTACATATCCAGACTCAGTTAAAAAAAAAAAAAAAGAAAAAAAAAAGTAGTGTTCTTGATCTGTTAGTAAAGGTGGCATCGCTTTTCCTGCCTCTACCTTGGTAGTCCCAGCCACAGAGGGATGAAGGATCAGTAGTTCTAGAACAGTACTGTCCACCTGGCTGATTTGACAGGAAGTGAAGGAGGCTGCTTGAACAACCATGTCTGTGGTTGTGGGGCTTCTCAAATCAGGTCTGAGGACAGAAGTCCTTCTAGGCCTGTCCCAAGATCTAGGGTTACCACAGAGCTTGAACCCTGGAGTCCTCAGAGTCTTGGCCTCCAGCCTACTTTCACTTCCCTAGGCTTCTGCTAATTCTCCTTTATGCCATTTATGTTCCAGCCAGCCTGTAGCTTCTTTCTCTATCAGCAGACTCACCTTGTCTCAGATTCCTCTTGAATCTTTTGGGAAACCCTCAAGTCTGGAATTTTGGATCTGGGGAGGCTGTGTCAGTGAGGGAAGAGAGGAGTCCATCCCCTTTGCTTTGGAAGGGGGCCTGCAAACTTGGAGGGAAAATGTGAGCTGTCCTATTTCTCGAAATCTCCAGAGAAAATGGAAGCCAAGACATCTTTTTAATACCAGGAGGAAGTGCATATGTATCATAAGAAATTGAGGTAACAATAAAATGGATCCTAGCACCTTCTGTGTACTAAAAACTGTTACTTGACACTTTATAAATGTTATCTCACTTAACCCTCATAAGAAGACTTTAAGGTAGGTGATGTTAATCATATTTTCTGGATGGAGAAGTTGAGACTCAGAGAGGCTGTCCAAGAATGCAAATTGGAGGCTCAAAGAGGAGAGAGCAGTTTCTTTGAGCGTGTTCAATCCACATGGGCTTCTGGAAGAGGTGGTATTGAGCTGGGTCTTGTAAGATAGACAGAGGGAACATGTAGAGATGGTAGTGGTCTTCAGCATTGATGTTTGAAGCCTGGTATTCAGGGCCTTGGACAGTCTGGGCTTTTTGAGTGAGGTTTCTTGCCAGTTCCTTGCTTTATGTTCCAACCACTTGGAACTCACCAACATCCCTAAATATGCAGATGGGGGTATTTCAGGCATATGTGCCTCAGCCAACAGCAGCCCTTTTCCTTCACCTCTTTCCTCTCTCCCAGGAGCTTTTCTACATCCTCTTTCACCTGGGACCACATCTCCTAGTTTTGTATCTTCCTGGTCGGGAACCTGACCCATGGCCAAGAGCTCACAAAATGATCAAATAGTTATGGGTGGGGCGTGAGCCTTGGGAGAAGACAAGTGATGAGCAGAAAAGTCTTTGTTGGCCTCTTGTCCTCCTCCCTGCCCCTTTTGGGGCAGAAAGGCTCATTCACAAGTCCAGGCCAAAGTCAGCACAGGCTTCAGTTTCATGGGCTACAACCGGTGCACAGATGGGGTGCATTAGAGCTTGATGATTTAGAGTTGGGTTAAATGCCTGGCTGTGGGGAGGGAATGAGGGAACTGTGGCTGTTGCTGCACAAAGATTCCTTTATTTCACTCCACAGCCACCCCCGGCGTTAAATAATCTATAGATTCTTAGGCAGGTCCCCTTAATGGAAACATCATTCCTCCAGCCCCCTCCTTGGAAAATGGGCCTTTCTTTTCATTTTGCTTCTCTCTTCCATTTAAGAAAGTTCAGGGAGAGAATGTTTCTCCTGTTCTCCCCTCTTGACATAATCTCTTATGCAGTTTCACAATCTGCCCAGTGGGAGTTAGGAGCTGGGAAGCAGATAACTGGAGCAGCAGTGTAATTAAATGATACTTTGTACTTGTAATAGAGCCTTTCATCTGGAAGCCTGACATTCCCTTGTTTGGTTTAAAAAAAGGTGGGGGGGAGTCTGACTTCATTATGGAGAAGGCAACACAAAGGTCCAGAGAACTAAAGCTCTGAGTATGTGGCTGGTAGAGAACTGGGTACAGGATTGGGACTTCGGGCTCCCATGGAAATGTTTTGAACAATTAGGGTCTCTACCGATGTGGCGGAAAGAATCTGCCACCAGCCTTTCTGCCTTCCCAGCTTGCTGTAAACCCCCAGAGGCCTCATTGCCTGGAATCAAGTGTCCAACCTCCGAGTCTCAGCTTCTCACTAATAAGATGAGTAAAGTAATATTTGCTGTTGTGAGTAATGCCTAGTAGCTAGCACTTACTGTATGCTCACTATGTGCCATCCCCATGACAGTCCTGTGAGGTAGGCATACCTTATTTGAAGGTGGGGTGAGGAGGGTTACCTCACTGGGTTGTTATGAGACTGGATGAGATCATGGGTGTGTGTGGGTGGTTGGCAAATCACAAAGCTCCTATACAAATAGACAGTCCCTTTGCTTCTTTTGGTTTTGCTGTTCAAAGGAGGTTTGGGGGTTGTGGAGGGATTATTCTTGCCTGATACCAAGCAAATGTAGTCTAGCCAAGGTAGTTTGACTTCAGAACTTGGAGTCCAAGAGTTGGATTTCTCAAAAGGCCGTAGAAGCAAAGTTGTGTGTGTCTGCTCAAAGGTAATAGGGCATTTTCTCTGTAGGATGGCGGTAGGGGGCCTCTTTGAATTGATGACAGAGCTATCTAGGGAATGTGCTGAGACATCCTGCATTTTCTTTCTTAGGGGGTGTTGTGGTCTAAATGCTGGCGTGTTTGCATGTGGAGGTACTTTAAGTTGGCACGAGGAATTGCTCACGTTGTTTCTCGCTTAATGGTGCAAGCCCCATTATAAAAATATACTTTGGTTATAAAATAATAATAGTTTCTATTGGAACAACTAGTTGCCCCAAGCGAGAACAATCTATTGCTCATTTCAGTGGAAACTAGCTGTCATGAAAAACTGGCTGGATCTTCACAAAGCTTTTCCGTGACAATTTTCTGTCTGTAAGCCTTCCTTTGCCTCCCTGCTGCTGACCCATCACCCTTTGATGGCATTGTGGAATAGGCTGTTTGGGAATGGTGAATTGGATTAATTTCTCATGAACTCACTTTGGGGATGGTGGCCTCATTCCAAGACACAGTTTGCTCTAGTGTTCTGGGGCCCTGGAGGGATGGTGTTGTGTGAGGCTCTGGAGTGGGTGCCCAGTCCAGGGGGAAGGCCGAAATCTTTTCCTCACCATCCAGAGCTATGTAAATTATCACTATGTCAGATCTTCGGGTCAGATTATCTCCTGGTGACAAATACAAAATTCCCAGAATTGCAGGTCATTTAGCCCAGCCTCTCTTCATGAGAAAATAGGCCAGGGGCAGCTCAGCCACTGGCCTGAGGTTCCATGCCCTCAGAGCCAGACCTCTACATCGCATACCCCTTGGTTGTGCTCTGTGGGAGGGGCTCTGGCTGTTTACAACCACTGGACCTCCTCCTGAGGCTGGGAGCTTTTAGGAGGATGGTTCTTTTTCGTTCCTTGTTGGGCTCCATTGGGCTTACAGTGGTAGCATTTTGGTTTTCCCTGCCTGCCTAGATAGATGTAAGATGGAGCGTTGCTCTTAGAGAAGTAGCAAGGAGGGAGATGTTCTGAAGCTGTGTATTGGTCTCTTGGCTACCAAGAGGCCCCCTCTGCCTGCCATTTCCCACTCTGAGGCTGCTGCTACAGCTGCTGCTGCTGCTTCTAAGATTTTATTTATTTATTTATTTGAGAGACAGAGTGAGTGGGTGAGTGAGAGAGTGCACAAGCTGGAGGAGGGGTAGAGGGAGAGGGAGAAACAGGATCCTCACCGAGCGGAGAGCCCAATGTGGGACTCGATTCCAGGGCTGTGGGATCATGACCCAAGCCAAAGGCAGCTGCTTAATGACTGAGCTACCCAGGCACCCCCTGTTACCCCCGGCTTCCGAGCACTGGTGCTCCACATCAGTGATTTCTCAAAAAGACTTGTACCCCTAACATAGTGGCTTGAAGGTAGTGGACATGGAGGGGTGCTGGTATGGAGGTACAGAGACCTGTTCCATCCTTTCCAGTCTACTTACTGGGGGTGCGTTTCTCTTAATTCACACCATCCACCAGCTTGTCTTTAATGTATAATAAATATCCTGGAAAATTGATGCAAAAAATAAATACAGGAATAGAATTTCTAAAAAGCCACTCATTACTTT